TATTGTTTATTCCGCCTTTAATTTTCCTAAAAGTCAAGCCTTTGTTTTATTATAAATATCATCAGCTTAAGCTACCCCACTCTGTCACTTTGCTTGGGTAGCGCCAAATGGACTCAAAATCTCTTTTGCTAGTTTTGTGGGATTTCTCTAATGTATGTATATACATACATATATACAGTTACATATACATATATCAATTTGTGTTGTAAAAGGAGCTGCGGCAGCAGTGATAGCACATGTTGCCACAGTTTTCCCTCCACATGGACTTCCCGCGGGAAACTTGCCTTGATTATGACAGTTGGTTAACATGTGACAACAAACACAACAACAGCAACAACTACGACTRCTACTAGCTGACTAACAACTAACCCATTGTAAGGTTTATTTTTTGCTTGCTTGCTTGCTTGGTCAATGTCATAATTTGCCACATGTCTCTTTGGCTTTTGACAAGGACATTTCTTGGGGATTTGTCGTTGAAGGAATCTGAGCGCTGCTTCGTTTGGCTTAAGCCAACAATTTGGTTGGCCAGTTAAATGCGAATGTACTACCTACCCAAAGACCCAACGAGCAAACCCTTCAAGCCTTTCTTGGCATGTTCTCATGTAATTACTTCGCTTTGCCCGAAATGCGGGTGGGCGTGAGGCGTGTGGCGTGAGGCGGGGGTCAGGGGTTGCTGCTATCTCTATATAGCGCTAACTGGCCTCGATTGTTGAGTGATAAGTGCTGCTGCCTCTGCAGTTGCATTTGTCAGTTTTTGGCTGGGCTGCTTGGCCGTTTGTGGGGAACGGAATGAGACATGGCCAACACATGCCAGCATTAACTAACTCGCGTCCAAGGTTCGTTGGCGTTGGCGGTTTCGAATGCCCTGTATGATTGAGGTAAAGGGGTTGCTTGCGCTTCGATGTAACTTTTGACAGGTCTATAAAATAATCTATAAGAAATAATCAATAAGAAATTGTATTAATACATAAATATAAATAAAGTTTTACTATTGCTTTAACAATTGGATATTAACAGTCGGACAAATATTCTATATAAATGATTCTCGTGCCATTCGACTTATATAGCAACATGTATGAAAACTTCGCTCGAGAGTGCCTGACTAAAAAATACCCTGAAAAAACCATGCTCGATTTCTCTTCTCCACCTTATATATAAATGCTGTGCTAAATTAACAGCTACCTATCTCTCAATTTTTTTATTTTTTCTATTTATTTCAATTTTTTGTATTTCCTATTAAAATGTAATACTTATTTAATATATTCCTTATGTATTTTTTAATACGATAATTATTTATCATTTTCACTATTATCGTATATGTTTTCTCTTTATATGTTTTCTCTTTATATTTAAATCTAAAAATTTTTCCAGTCCTACACAATAAATACAGGGTATGTTGAAGCCTAACATTTTAACACATGTCACTCTAATTTTTTGTGTGCTTTCCAAATGTTGCTGTAAATTGTTAATTAAATTTTTCTGTTCTCATTTTCTAACGGACGTGTGGGAAAATGTAGCCCAAAAACTACAACACAAAAAGAAGTAGAAGAAGAAGAAAAGAGGAGAAAAACAAACAATGCCCCAGCCAAGGGGTTAAAGTTAAGCAAAGCTTTTTGCTATATTATTGTAGCTATGTTGTAGGTAAGCTGAGCTGAGTAATTAACAGCAAATGTAAGTTGTAGCTGCCAGAGGGAGAGTGGGAGGGAGAGAGTGAGCGGGAGAGTGAGAGAGCGGCTTTAGAGATAAGCAGCATATGCTATAGATACTTGATAGCTCATTGTGGAAAAATCATGGCAGGCCTTGGAAGAGAGCAAGCGAGTAGCCAGAAGCCAGAGCCCAGTGCCCAGAGCCTTATACTATTATCAGCAGACACGGCCAATGGCCAGCAGCAACAGCCGCAGTAACAACAACAAACAGCAACTTGAAGCAATTACAACAATCAACGTTCGCCGCACGATAAGCGATAGCTGCAACAACAATCCAATCGTGTGTGTGTGTGTGTGTGGCTTACCCAAGTGCTGGCCCACAATGAACCGCGATTACAAGCACAAAACCGAGGGCCCAGCTAACAACAACAACAACAATGGGCAATAAACGGATCTGAGAGCGAGGCAGCAACGTTTTTGATTGGTGACTGCCGCTGGGGTAAGCTAATGAATACAAGTATCTCATAGACACACACACACACATAAACACTGTGTGTGTTTGTATGCATATGTAATGCTACTTAAGTGCCGGCTGCCAACAGACTCGACTCATTTTGTTTATTAATTTAAAAATGCAACAGCCAGCAAAAGCCATTGGCAACATATGCGAACAGTAACAATGTGAATTAGAAGATCAAGAAGAAGAGATCAAGAAGAAGCAACAAATATAACAACAACAGCAGCAACAAGAACAACAACCACAACAGCAACAACTCTTGGCAACATTTGCTGTTCAAACGAATTAGTTGAGTTCTAGGCTCAGTTGGCGGTTTGTGTCTTCGCTAAGTTATTTTCAGACACATTTGCTTTGCCTTTTGATTAATCATGTTAGTTATGCGACTTATATTTGCTCTCATTCGCTTGCTTAGCTCTTATAATTCACACTTATATTAAAGTAAGCTGTGTTCCTTCAAGAGTCTTATACTTCAGTTTTCATGCTCTATAACCGATATTTAAAGCTTGAAATAAAGCGAAAAAGAGTATAATATTTGTGTTCAAGAGTGTATAATAAGTAAAATAAAGCAAATTCAAGTGGTAGCTAGAGCAGGAGCAAGTATAAGAGTTACAATTAGAATAAGAATCTACTAGATGACAGGCAGATGCAATTAAATACATATATACACATATATATGTGTATTTATTTATGTATATGTATTTATTTATGTATATATATATATGTATGTATATGTACATATATTGTTGTAA